AGCCCTCCTGACAAACCAATCGGTAGTTGACACAATAGCAGACAATGCAGCAGCGAACGTAGCAGCAACAGCAGCAGCAGCAGCGGGGACACCGGCAATTCACGGACCAGTGGTGCCAGCCTCGCCGAACCTCAAAGCAGCTCGCCCTAGGCTCCCCGAACCATTCGATCCAAGCGCGAAGGGATCGGACGTTGGACGATTCATGGCAACCCTCGAAATTTATTTCGAGGCCATTGGCTCTTCGACCCCGACACATGACGCAGCAAGGATTCAGCTCGGAGTGACACTGTTGCAAGGACCAGCACTCTAGTGGATTTACTACAGTGACGTGGCCCGCGGGGAGAAAAGGTAGGCGCAGTTTCAGGCAGACCTCATCGAACGATTCGAACCGATAAATTTGGTGTACATGGCGCGGCAGCAGATTCAACGACACAAGCATCTGGCAATTGTAGCACTATACACGCAGCAGATGGAGCAACTTTTCAACTGCATCACCGACCTGACCGAAGGCGAAAAAATCCAAGCATACACAGAAGAGTTACAAAATGGAGATTTGCCGACAGGTCATCGCTGCAAACTTCAGTAGCTACCGCGACATCGTACGTGCAGCCGAACGATACGACGCATTGACTCAAGGTCAACCCGAAACACGATGCTACGGGCCGAACCGTACATTTGGCACGGACCGATCGGCACCCCCCACGTTCGCTGAACTGATGGAAATCGACAAATTTGAAGCGAAGCAGCAATCGAGAAAATGCGAATTTTGCGGCGCAGCCGGACATCAAATCTTGTCGTGCAATAAAATGATGAAAGCATGTGCGGCACTACTCGGCGGCAACAGTATAGCACCTTCAAACTAAAAAAACAGGAATCGCTAGTAGTCGCAGATCCACCTGGCGATCCTGTAAAGATCCAAAAGGAGAAAAATGGCGTGGACGTGGCGACTTCGGAGCGGGCGAAAAAAAGGAGAAAACGATGGCGCGAATATAAAACGTAACGAACGGCCGACATTAGAGGAAATCGCCGAGGCAAATGGAGGCTCCACGAAAAAAGACTCTGCACCGATCGGGAAACTGCAGCCGAACACTCACGAAAGTAAGAATTCGTTAAAGATATCCTACAAAGATGTTTTAACAAAGAATATTACTTCTCATGGTTTTCAAGCCTTTGAAAAATTTAGGGGAGAGTTAGAGGCCAAGAAAAGACTTTAGACATTATTCAAGTACCTGAGAAGATGGGCAAAGCATTACGGAGCGTAGAAAAGGGTCGTGCTTTCCGTGGAGTTAATATCCCCCCCCTACAGCACAGTGTTAAGGCTCCCCGTCGCCCACAGGTGAAGCCTACACGGCTTAAAAAGGCTTAGAGGAAAATTCCAGGCTTAGGAGAAGTTGTTCAAGCCTTGGAAAAAACCTCCTACCCCCCAGGTGAAGTTGGAAAGTGCTGAATCAGGTATAGGGAAAAGGGATTGTGTTCATTTTGATGTACCCTATGATCCTATTAATGAGACCCTCTTTGGCTACTCAGCGCAACATGAACCACTACTCCTCGAGGTGCTATGCAAAGGACGACGCCTCCAGGCACTGGTGGACAGCGGTGCATCTCACTCGGTGTGGTTGCACTCACTCAGAAGCATCACTCCAGCTACACATAGGGGCGCTGAGGTGGAAGCCGATGTTGCCAATCACGAACATCAAGAGCTTAGATTTCATCTTGGGGCGAGTTTTTTTGAAGCGGTCAGCCCCGGGAATGACTAGGTCAACAGGAAGGCGTGTGTCTACAACAACAGGAATCGAGTGGAGCTGCGAAGCTGGATGGATACAGGGAGCGTTCCTCAAACGATACTCGCACGGTTCGAACGGACGGTGAACGAGAGTGACACGGGTTACTTAGCACTGGTTATGGCAAAAGGAGAGGAGGCAAAACCGAGTTCAGAGGTACCTACAGCAGTGAAGGAGGTGTTGGAGCAGTACAAGGATATAATGCCCGACGACCTACCTGCAGGAGTACCTCCAACACGCACCCACGAGTACGAGATTGTGGAGGAACTAGGTGCGAAACCCGTCTCACGTGCACCATACCGACTGAGTCCGAGAGAATTGACAGACATGAAGAAGCAAATAGAGTATCTACTTGACAGATAACTGATCCGCCCATCCACCTCTCCCTACGATGCACCAGTTCTCTTCACTCCGAAACCAGACCGTACTGATGCGCATCGGCTACCACGCACTTAAGAAACGGACAGTCAAAAACAAATATCCCATACTGCGCATAGACGACCTACTGGACCAACTGCGTGGTGCAACAGTCTTTCGAATCTGGACCTACGGTCGGGTTACTGGCAGATCATGATGGCAGCCAGCTCCATCCACAAAACGGCGTTCTGTACGAGATACAGCTCCTATGAATACTTGGTGATGCCGTTCGAACTTTGCAACGCACCAGCGACGGCCCAGGCGGAGATGAATCATATCCTACGGCCCGTGTTGGACGAGTGCGTGGTGGTGTACCTGGACGTCATTCTCATCTACTCCAAAAACATGGAGGAGCACGTGGAGGATCTGTGAAAAGTCTTCGAGATCTCGCGGAAAAACAAAGTTCCACGTGAAGCTTTCAAAGAGCGACTTCGCCTTGAACAACGTGCAGTTTTTCAGGCACATGGTAAGTGCGGAGGGCGTACATGTGGACCCGCCACGGAGTGGAAAGTACCAGAAAACGTGAAGGAGTTGCAAGAGTTCCTAGGCTTTGCCAACTAATACAACAGGTTCGTGCCATAATACGCTAAGATAGCAGCGCCACTGACCAACCTACTGAAAAGGATTCGCCATACAAATGGGATACTCCTCATCAGCAAGCCATAGAGCAGCTATAGAGAGCACTGACTTCAGCTCCAGTTTTAATCCTACCGGACCCAGACAAGGACTACATGGTGGAAGCCGACGCTAGTGACCAAGCTGTCGGAATAGTATAGATGCAGGATCACGGACGCGGTTTGCAGCCCATCGCCTACCTCAGTAAGAAGCTACACGGAGCACAACTGAACTACCCAATCCTTGACAAGGAAGCCTTAGTGATAGTCAGAGCCCTCAAGGCGGGGAGGTTTTATCTAGAGGGAGCCAAGAATACAGTTTATACTGACCACTCTAGTTTCAAATACCTAAAGTCGCAGCCGACACTCTCACGACGACAGGTGCCGTGGGTGGACTTCTTGGAGACCCACTTCTATTACGACATTGTCTACAAACCCGGGTACACAACAAGGCGGACGTGTTGAGCCACCCCGGTCATGTACCAAGCATCCAGCTCAACGAGATGAACCCTCTGCTCAAGGGTCTATTCCAACATGGGTACTCCGTGGATACAGAGATCACTACAGCATAGACTAAGAAGTTGTTACTGTGGGAGAAAGACTTAGTAGTAAGGAAGGGCACAGGAAAGATTTGGGTACCAAACTATTCCTCGCTCCGACACATTCTACAGGAGGAGTTTCACGACGTACCATATGCGGGACATTTGAGGAGATCAAGACGTTAGTAGGGATAGCAAAGTATTTCTACTCGCCCAAGATGCCAGCAGACGTGCAGCAGTTCGTCAGCTCATACAACATGTGCCAGCGGATGAAGAGTATCAAGCAGAAAAAAGCATGGTTACTTCAGCCTCTACCCGTACCGAAGCAGCCATGGCGAGTCGTTAGTCTCGACTTCATTACGGGAATTCCTTCTACCACACGAGAGCACGATGCTATACTCGTGGTGATCGACAAGTTCTCCAAAATGGGTCACTTTATCCCAACCAACGGCACGGCTACAGCTGAAGCAACTGATCGCCTCTTCTTCGACCGCATCATCACCATCCACGGCATCCCCGCTACACTCATCTCTGATAGAGACCCCAAATTCACGTATAAGTTCCGGAAGGAGCTCATGGGACTATTAGGGATTAAGCTTGTGATATCTTCAGCATACCACCCCCAGACGGACGGACAGAAAAAGCGACTCAATCAAGCGGTTGAACAATTACTGCGCACAGCTTGCAATGACGGCATCAGCCACTAGGACAGACAGTTACCGACCCTAGAGTTTGCTTACAATAACGCGTTACATGCGGTCACAGAAAAACACCTTTCTTCTTGTGCTACGGATGGAAACCACTCAGTCCACAACAGCCAGCCATACCGGCGCACGTCCAAGCCGCACATGATTTCGTCACCTCCAGCAGCTATGGGAGAAGACTCAGCGACATCTCACCACGATGCTGAAATCCTAGATGTAGTATGCCGATCGCCAGCGACGTGATCATACCGTAGCCGTCGAAGATCACGTGCTTCTCGACATGCGCAACTTGAACCTGTCTCACCTACCATCCAAGCTCCAGCCTCGCTTCTGTGGTCCTTTTCACGCTGAGGCACATGTGACACCAGTAACATTCCGCTTGCGCTTACCTACTACGTGGAAGCTTCACAACGCATATATGTTCAGCTATTGAAGCCTTACAAGGACCCCAACCAACAGTTCCAGGGACAGCAGATACGGCTACCACCACCTGTGCTAATATAGGATGATCCAGAGTATCAGTCAAGTACGTTCTCACTCATCGGCCCCACGGCGGCAAGACCCTCGAGTTCCTGATACGCTGGAAGGGATATGACCCCACAGAGGACAGTTGGGTTGCAGAAGCTGATATGGGCAACGGACGCCATGCTCTCAAGGACTATCTTGTCAAGCAGTGTGTATCTCACGCCACCCAACTTTGAGGGGGGGACGTGTGAGAGTACGACAGCTCATGCCAGCTATGCTTGCTTGCCTTCACTTTATTATGCTATTTCGAGCTTAGGTTTCTAGTTGCATGCATGCTTCCGCTTGATTTCCTAGAGTAGGTGCTTTCCTATATCTTGTTATAGTTATAGAACTGAGCTAGGTTGCCATCGAATCTACGACAGCGGGCGTGACGGTTGGCGCAATTGCGCTGTCGTAGGATACTTGGTCGGCGGGATCTCATCACGTGGAGGGAGGCATCTCTGCGTCCATGGCTACCAGAGACAAGGACACGGGAGGCCATGCCTCTGAGACGAGGCAGGGAGGGGTGACCAAGGCGGTGGTGCCAGAGGAGAGTCTGGTGGGACAGGAGACGACACGAGCAGGGAGCAGACTCAGGACCAGACCTGGACGCCGCAGCAAACACCTGACTCGACGCAGCTACCTGACCAGACTCAGAAAGCGGAGGAGACTCAGTAGTCAGTGTGTACAAGCTCGGCCCCGGCTGATGGGTAAACGTGGCCATGTGTCGGCCCGTCCGAGCACACGTACAGTGAGTCACCCGCTGACTCGCAGGAGTGAACTGGTCAACCCCCTAATCCTGTAGATCAGCACCACTCACCAAGTTCGTAGAGAACAAGGGGAGGTAGAGACCTGACAGGGTGCCAGAGGGGGCTGCCGGACACGGAAAGAAAGTGGAGATGTGGGCAAGGACAGGACCCCTAGAGGGGTCCGCCAGGGAGACCGCAACCGGCCGACTAAGCGGCGTAAGCGTGGTGCGGTCTCGAAAGAAGGAGCGAGAAGCACCCGAGTCAAGGGTGAAGGTGTGTAAGGCCTGAGCCGACGTGGTACCTGAGAGAGCAGACTCACCAGCACTTGGGGCAGCAGACGCACTAGCACCTAGAGCAGCAGCCTCACCAGCACCTAGAGCAGCAGCCTCAATGCCCGGGTCAGGCGGAACACACAGGTAACAGTCACCCTCATCACTAGTAGACACAGCATACATGGCAGCAAGAATAGCATCATAATCAAGATCAAAGATAGCAACCCCCGACCTCTGCAGTTCTCCCCAGCAAGGGATCTCAGTGGCGTCAGGGAACTGGAGACACCAGGCGTCCGTCAGGCGGCCGAAGCAGCGCTGGGTGGGGTGCGGGTCCCCGCACTGCTCACCGTACGGTCGCCGGTACGCAAGACGTAGGTACAAGGACCAGTACCCCCACCCCGCTGACGCGAAGCGTACCACTCACGAAGCTGCTGGGGGGGCGGGGTCTCACGAGTGCGCTGCTGCTGCTGGCACTGACCACCACCGAAGCTGCCCCGCTGCGCACAGCCACCCCGACTAGCTCCACCTCCTCCGCCGCCGCCTCCACCACCGCCGCCACCGCCTCCTCCTCCGCTCCCACCGCCACCGCCGCCGCCGCCTCAGCCGCCACTGCCGCCACCGAAGCCCCCACCGCCGCCACCACTTCCACCACCACCCCCACTCCCTCCGCCTCCTCCACTGCCACCTCCACCGCCCCCGCCAGCCCCTCTAGCGCCCTTGCCCCCCTTGCCCTTGCCGGTGCAGCGTCGCCCGCTAGGGGCAGACGCAGCGCCGACCGACTCGGTGCCAACGAAGTCGACGGCAGCAGCAGAGGCAAGAGAGGGCAAAAGGAGGGAGGGGGAGCACCCCTCAAAGACAGGGGCACGAGGGTCACCTTGAGAGGCTCCTACAACGACTATACTCTTCTCAGCTGCCAGGAGGCGCTCCTCGAGGAGGTCAACGGTGAGTGTGATGGGGCAAACAGAGAGGAAGTGGTCCTTGACCGAGCGAAGGGAGTCAGGGAGCCGGGTGACTATGTAGTAGAGGGTGATGTACATGGGGGGGTTTCTTGGCGCAAAACTCAGCAGGAAGCGCAGCGCGGTAGCGGGTGTCACTAGTGCGAAGGTGCGTAACAAGGTCAGCAACAGTGGGAAAGGCGGCGAGGTCAGGAAACAGGTACGGCAGCATGAGGCGGCTAAGGGCAGCAGTGGCAGGGGAAGAGTAGCGTGCAACTACAGCATCGTACAAGGTCTTAGCACTCTTGTACTGACTAAAGTGCGCGCGCTCAATGGACGGCAAGTGACTACGCACAGCAAGACGGGCAGCAGCATCGCGTGTGGCCCACTATGAGCGAACAGTGGTGTCAGCATCGGCAGCAGGGGAAGTAGAGGCGCCAGACGTGAGATCGAACAGGGAAAGACCGTCCTTCCTATCACACTGTTGGAAAAGCTGTAGATCATCGACCCAGACCTCAAAGTCAACAGCCCGACCCTCAGCATCAAAGACTAGAACACTAGGGGTAGCCATGACAGCAGTGGCAGCAGGCTAGGGGCAGCAGTAGCAGGCGTGGCTCGGCAGTGCTTTCACCAGGGCTGGTAGGTAGGGGGCGGCAAGCGGTGGGGCAGGGCTGAGGCGCGTCGGCAGGGACAGAGCCGCGACCGCGGCGGCAGCTCCTGCTGTCGGCGGCGACGGCTGCTGGTGGTGGTGGCCGCCGCTGGTGTCGGCAGCTTCTACTGCTGTCGGCTGCTGCTGGTGGCGGGTGCTGCTAGCGGCGGCTGCTGTTGGTGGCGGAGGAGCCGAGGAGGGGCCGGGAACGGTGGAGACGGGGCCACGAAGGGCGGCGACGGGGCCGAGAAGAGGCCGCGAGGGGCCGTGAAGGGCGGCGACGGGGCCGCTAGAGGCGGCGACAGGGCTGGAAGGGCGGCGACGAGGCCGCTAGAGGTGGCGACGGGGCCGCGAAGGGCGGCGACGGGGCCGCTAGGGGCGGCGACGGGGCCGCGAAGGGCGGTGACGGGGCCGCGAAGGGCGGCGACGGGGCCGATAGGGGCGGCGACGGGGCCGCTAGGGGCGGCGACGGGGCCGCAAAGGGGCCGCGAGGGGCCTCGAAGGGCGGCGACGGGGCCGCTAGGGGCGGCGACGGGGCCGCGAAGGGGTCGCGAGGGGCCTAGAAGGGCGGCGACGGGGCCGCAAAGGACGGCGACGGGGCCGTATAGGGTGGCGACGGGGCCGCTAGGGGTGGCGACGCGGCCGCTAAGGGTGGCGCGAGGGGCCGTGAGAGGGGCCTCTAGGAGGGCGCGACAGGCCGCTAAGGGCAGGGGACGTGACGAGAGGGCGGCCCACGGGGCGTGCCTCGGGCAGGGGCGACTCGTGCTCCGGTCAGGAAAAAAATAATTCGATTTCAGTGGTGGGCCCTAAGAAGCGTTCCCACTAGGGAACCTGCTCTATACCATGTGAAGAAATGAGGAATGAATGAACTACCAAGCAGGCGGGTACAAGTAGGAAAACCTAAAAGTGTTGTACCCCATATTGTCTACCCCACTACAGCCTACACAGACTATAGCATATGAGTTTGACAGATGGAGCCTCATCTAGAGATCGCCGGGCTGATGTGGTTCGCCGACGGCATCGTGCCGACAATGGAGGCGGACAATGTCGAGCTGCTGTGGAATATCGTGCCGCACACCTATTGACATTCATGGTCATCTCGAGGTGCTGCTCCCCGATGGTGCTGATAGCACTAATGTCATATCGACAACGTCTGAACAATGGTTACCAAGTCTGGCGGTTCATCTTGTCGTCCTACCAGGCGACGGACGATCTGTACATTGGCCTATTGGAAGAACAAATGACACACCTCAGGATGGGCAAAAAGGAGTCGGCGACGGATTGCTGCAATCGTGTTCGACGGATCTCGGCCGAAATGCAGATGGCGGGCATTAGCCACTCGACGGCGTCCTACATCACACACGTTGTTAATGGCTTGCCGAGCAGCTACAATCTCATGCCCCGGCTGATGGTGGTTCCCGGTACGCGTGAATCGCTTGACGAGGACTCCTTGACCAGCTACATCATCAGAGATGAGGCGATGCAGGAGGCAGAGCGTCCCACAGAGGTCCTTCTGCAGGTGAGCTTGTCAGAATCCCAACCACTAGACCATTGGGATAAAAGGGCTTGTTAAGTAGCGGGTCAGTGCGCCCATAACCCTCCAGGCCAACGTGCCTGTAACCCTTCCCTAGGATCAATCGGGGATCACCGACAGAGCTACGCCGCCCCAACGAAGCAGCGTCGACAACAGGGGCAGCGTGGGAAGCAGAGCGGAGGTTGGAGGTCGATGAAGGACATCGACCAGGCGAAGTCGACGCGTAAAATGGGTCGCGGAGGTGGTGGACGACGGTGGGAGGGTTAGATCTGCGGCGACCCTAACCATCTCTCCTTCAAGTTCCCCAACCGTGATGACAGGAACGAGGAAGACGACGAGAAAGGCCGTGGTAAGTTGGCCAGTCGTTGCTCCCGTTGAGACGGAAAGCCACGCAATGAAAAGCAGGCGTCAAACAAGATGTCGTTGACGAAGGACGTCGACAACTCTAGTGACAAGGGCCAAGGCGACGTGGAGGCATCGTGCTCGATGATTGGCGTGGTGGAGCCGACAAACTCGTCGGCGCCAGAGGCTGGCGAGGACTTCAAGGGGGTCGCACTCGGTATGCAAGCAAACCCTATGGTGGTGCCAGTCGACAGTGGTTACTCGTAGTGCCCTAATGGTGACGAAGGAGTTCTTCGTTAACATGGCGCCGAGCGGCGACATGAAGCATGTGCGCGGCTTCAACAGGGCGTTGTAGACGGTCGAGGGCCGCGGCACCGTCGCTCTGCAAGGAGAGGCCGGTAGGTACGTCCTCATCCCCGACATGCTCTACGTTCCGGGAGTGCAGGCAAACTTGCTATTAGCTGGTCAGCTGCAGGAGAGTGATGTGAAGCTGTAGGACGACAGTGATGAGCAGCTGCTCGTGTTGAGTGCAGGCGAGGTACTCGGTCAAGCACGCCACACCGGCCGCATCCTCTGCACCAACCCTCTGCCGAATGTGGGGCTGCATGGTGCAGTTCATGGTCCTTGAGGAGCAGCGCGGTGGGAAGCTGGCACCAAAGGCTCGCTGGGGACTTCACTTGGGGGTGTCCCCAGAAAGCAAGGGCTAGCAGATGCTAGACTTGACTGACAACAAGGTGGTCACATCGATCGAGGTCATTTTCTACAAGACGTTGTTGCTGGAGATGTGGCAGGTGAAGTACGGGTATGCGTCGCGGCTGACGGAGGTCCACCAGCCGACGGACACCTTGACCGCGACATTCCTGCTGCTCGCCGAGGTCGACGAGCCTACTGATCAAAACGTCAAGGAAGTTCTGCCCTGTCTTCCTGTTCTTGTTGCTCCGCTCTTTGTCACCGATTTGCTGGTGTCAACCAACGGCGATGAGGGGTGCCTTGGGGAGTCGCATGTGGCGCCGGCCAGTGGCATCGCCGGCGGTCGACGTGCAGCGAAGCTTGTCGAAGGAGAGGTGTAACTATCAACAATAGGGGAGCAGCAGATAGGGGAGAAGGTGCAGAAGGAGGCTGCAGAAGTTTCGTCGGCAAGGGAGCAGCTGAAGGGGAAGCTAACAGGGGAGCTGTCGACGAAAATGAAGTTAGCCAGCTGGCCGACGAGAGGGGAGCAGCCGCTCGAAGGGCCAACGATGGCAAAGCAGCTCGTCAACAGCGAGGATGTCGACGATGAATGGGAGGTGTCGGCAGGGGAGGAGTCTACTGTTAGCGATGTGGTGGAAGTTACGATCAAGATGTCAGATCTGCGCCGCTCAAGCCAAAGTCGGAAGCCGCCGGAGCAGTTGATATTTCATGCATGTCTTCCACCAGCCGCCTTCATCACACCGCGCGACGACGCTAAGGCCAACGTCGACCTCCTGAGCTCGACCCCAGCATGCACGCCGACCCCGATCACTGCTGGGACATCGCAACGATGTCGGTGAAGGAGGCTTTGGCAAGCTGGAAGGGCACGGTGGTGAAGGCCCTATATAGACGAGGAAATCCGCAGCCTCATTGGCATGGGCATGTGAGAGCTGGTCGAACGAACGTGTGGTGTGAACATCATGAAGAACTGCTAGGTGGTGATGACGGAGTACCAGATCAATGAAGGCGCGCTCGAAGGCGCGCTTGGTCGTAAAGGGCTTCACCCAGGTGTATGGCGCCGCCGACGATGAGACGTACACGCTAGTCAGCAGCTACATCACGCTGAGGACGCTGTCCCCGACCTTAACCTGATGCAGCTCTACATGAAGACAACTTCCTGCTAAGCAAGCTCGATAGGGTATTGTACATGTACCAGCCAGAAAACATTGACGATGGGACCGGCCAGGTGTTCAAAGTGCTAAAGAGTAAGTAAGGGCTGAAGCAATCACCGCTGTTGTGGTACAAGGCGCTCGACAATTTGTTGACTGGCGCCGGCTGGAAGAAGAGCGAGGTTGATGATGCGCTGTACTTATAGGTCGGCGACGATGGTCTAACGTGCTAGGTGCTCGTCTACATCGACGACCTACACACCGCCAGCAACAGCACCGTGATGAGCTACGCAAGATCAGCTCAGTCGAGAGGTACCTTGGGCTGAAGATCGTGTGCGATAGGCCTGCGAGGAAGTTGTGGCTGCATCAGCAGGCTGTAGTTCGCGGCGACAACGAGGCCGAATATTGCCTTTGCGTGCATCAAGCTGGGGAGCGGCCTGATGGTGTGGAGCGACCAGCACTGGTGTGAGGTCGACTGCTGCCTTGCCTACCTCGCAGACACCCGTGACACCGCCGTGGAGATTGACGGTGGACCAGAGTCGCTGAAGTTGGTCAGCTAAGTGGACGCCGACGAAGCTGGCAACAAAGAGAACAGGTCAAGCCAGCGCATCAAATACGCAACCTTTTCTTCGACCGAGTCAGAGTATGTGGCGGCCACCGATGTCGGCAAAGAGGGATGTCGAGTGCGTTTTCTCCTTGCAGAGTTCCAGCTGCTCAACGCTGGGACACCAAATGTCCT